CTTCCCGGACGACCAGAAATATGCCGTTTATTTCCCACTATTTCTTCCCGTGAGTCTACCCGTCATCTCATCCGTCTATTATCTATACAAGACTTATCGAAAAAAGCGCTAATCCTTGTTATCATTAACGACTTGTGCCGCATATAGTTGCAGTGCAATTATATCTAGATCTCTAAGTCGGGGTGCAATTATATCCGGATAGAGTTGCCCTCAGTTTTGGTATCACATTGATATATTTAATTATGTGTTATTTTATTCTGTGACACATCACGTGACTATAGTATTGGCTGTACAATTGATATGCGAAATGATTTAGCGCTATTCATAAATAATGTCTACAGTTTGAGACAAAGACAATGCACTCTAACTTTGCAGTGATTGTGATATACTGTACGTAATTTATTGTAGAGAGCATTGTGTCACAGAATAAAATAACACATAATTAAATATATCGATGTCATTTAGGCATTTATCAAAATTCACATATAGTTGCCCTCAAACTCAAATAATATCAAACTGTAAAGTTTGACTAAAAGTTTTTTGTATTATATGCTTCCCTTTCCTATCAATTGGTGTGCTTTTTGTTTAATGTGAATGAGTGTCAGGTATTTGTGACACAATGTCTGAAATAATTGAGTTATCAAATGAGGAATCAATGGATGGGTTGCAACTAGAGTGACCAACCGTACAGGTTTGGCCTGTACAGTACAGGTTTTGGACGATCTGTTCAGTGTACAGGCAGATGTCTCGCATGTACTATATAATGTCCAAACGAGAAATCGAGAAAAATTAGATCAAATATTATACTTTTATAACAATATTATTGGTTTTAATCTAAGTTGTTAAACTAATATGTGCAATTTTCTTTTAATTTTGTCAAAATTGTAGAAGAAATAAGTTTATATTTTGAATTTCAATTAATTTATGTGGTCATAATACACATAATCTGTACAGGAATGCGATGTATGGTTTGTATAAATTACGATTACCTATAATTTTGCTCTGTTGAGAAAATTAGTGTCCAGGTGAGCGTACAGGGAAGTTTACTACAATGTACAGGAATGTCTCGGAATTTATAAAGAACGTATAGGAAATGTACAGGTTTCTCATTTTTTGAGTTGGTCACTCTAGTTGCAACAGATACCGAATAAATTAGATTTGAGTGAAAGTAACCCTTCATTGAATGCAAGTCAAAGTGAAAGCAATGCAAACACAGAGAGTGGTAACAGAGGTCAGAGTAGGACAACTACTATATGCAACTATTTCTGTATTTCATTTCATTAATAAAACTGTTGGAATAACTAACCAACCGTGTACAGCGTTTGGGGGCAATTATATGTGAGTTTTTAATATGGGGGGCAATTGTATCCGGATATAATTGCACTGGTTTAGCACTTTTGAAATTTGCTTAAAATCTTGATATAATTGCATGCAATTCTATGCGGCGAAAGTCGTTACTATAACTGTATTATCGATTTGACAATTCATTTGTTTGTTTTTTATACCACTAAAAGAGATTTTTATTTATTTTATAGTATTTATTAATTTAAAACTATTTTTGGCATAAATTTCCAATTGAATTAATTTCTAAAATAAATTTACAAACAATTTAAAGACTAATTTCTTGAGTGAATCTCAATGCCAACCAAAAATCAATCAAAATTCAACACTTAAACGGAGCCAACAATGAGCTCTCACTTGGAGAGGAAGTCCTGCCAGTCCTCCTTCTCCTTCCTCTCGGCCAATATCTCCTTCACATACGGCTCCAGATATCGTCCCTTCGTTTGGTCCTTCAAACACAACAAAACATACAATCGTTGAGCGGATCAGTTGGCGACACAATGAACATGAGATACAATACCTCTTCGAAAGTGATTCTCTCGGACTCCGGGATATATGTTTTGGTGATCTCCAACTGCGCCGATCGGATGCAGCGGAAGGCCCAGCGGTCGTACTCATCGGCGGGCAGTCGACGCAAGGCCTCGGCGTAGACGGCTTCGGTGCCCGGATGGAAGGGTAGTTGACCCAAACACTCCAAGTCGTTCTGATAGAAACCTGCATCCGTTCAAAGCGATAGACAAACACGTGGCCAACAATCGGGCGTTAGTTATGTGTAAATCAATGCAAATTGCGGTCAATTTTATACCAAATTTGTTATATCCGTCCAAATTATACATCCATTTACGAAACGCCGGATTCTTGATCCCTATAAACAGACAATTGGATCAATTAAGTGATGGTTGAGATAATGGTTGATATGATGGCATACATTGTCTCGCGAGAAGCACTCGTGTCCCGAAAACCATTGGTAAACAGCGATTAAAACCGGATTTAAATGCAATTCAATTCACAAAACACTTGAAATGTGAAAATGTCTGAACACTACTGTTGTGTACATTCGGTTGCCATCGAAACCATTGACCCCTTAAACCGGTTGTTATGCGAACGAAGTGTCGGTACTTTTTGTATGTATAGAACAATGCGTTCACTCTATTGGAAGGCATTGTTATAAAAAGGTTTGTTATGTAAACGTATTGTTTGTTTGTTTTATTTGGCGTTTAAAAGCATTGAATCGACGAATCATTGGATCGTTTGCTGGACTTTAAAAGTGTTGTTCAAAAATGGGTTCAAAAATCACAGCAAAAGGTCTTTTAAATTGCATTTAATTCACAATTAATTAGTTTTTTAATTAAAATATTTAATTAATATTTAATTACAGATTGTCTTCATTTGGCGAACGATATAATAGTTGCCAGAAATCTATTGATCCCACGTTTGACAGCACTTAAAGACATTGATTACGCCTTTTTTGTGGTCATCTTCGAGGACCTCTTCGGCGAGGATTTTGCCGACTTCTCCGCAACGGTTCCCAAATCGAGATCACATGAAATCCAATTAATGGCCCGATTGTTGGCATTCGTGTCCAAAGATCTGTTTGCCATCGATTTGGATCACATCCGCGCCGACGCTATCGTCGCCCATAACGTGCTTCCGATTCACGACTTCTTGGAAATTATCGCCACTTTTGTTAAGCATTTGCCGAAAGAGTTTAAGGAAAACAATGTTTTTCCGTCGACACCGAAGACAATGCCTGCGAAACGTTCGCCAAAGATGTCGACCGAAGACATTCTGCGTTCATTAGATCCGTACAAATCTGAGTCGTCTTCGAGTCCGAAGTCGTTGTCTTCTTCAGAGTCTAATGAACCGCTTCGGCGACCAAAAGAGTCGACAACAAGAAGAAGAAGTTTAAGACACGCGAAGTCTTCTTTCGGTTACGACACGAGTAATCGAAAAGAAGATTCGAGTAAACAATCGATTGCTATTCAGACAGACATTGAGATACCGATTGGCGTTCAGACCACTAGTACTGCGGTTTCGCCGAAAGCCATAAAACATATCGGTTTACAAACAAGTGGTTTGGATTCGCCGAAACCGGTGACCGGTTTTGACGAATACAAGCGATTGAAATGCGAAAACTTTGCCACTCTTTTGGGCCATCGATTGCACGAAACGCTTCGACTTAAAGAACTGACCGATAGTATTGAATATAGGGTTAAACAATACTACGGAGATGTGACCACTCAAACGCCGCAACGAATTGTACGCAAATCTGCGGCCAAAGCCAAGAGTGGCCGCAAAGTATCGTTTCGCACGAAACGCTCGCCACAAGTGAAACGAAAGACACCCGCGAAGTGTCAAAATAGTTTGAGGCAAAGCTTTCGGACACAGAATTTAGACGATTTAGTGAAATCGTTTCCAGAGATTCCCCGAAATACTGTTCAATCGCTTCGCAATCAAGAAAGACATCAGAAGAAAGTGATGGAAAATCTCAATAAAGACATTAAAGTTAATGAACAGAAAGTGAAGTCGCGATTGAATGCGGCGATCGATACGCAACAGAAACGCTCGCAACTGATTCGCGATGAAATGAAACACTTGGAAACGTTGGCCGAAACCAAGTCATCGAAAATGTTGAAAATCAAAGAGAATGCAGAGAAACGCGACGAACGGATAGAGAGGTCGCGAATGCATAAAATGATGGATAGGTTTCAAAACGATATGAACGCTAAGTATAAACGATTGCAAGCAATGGAAGAGCGGATTGTTTTGAAGGAATACGAAGAGAAGGAGAAGCGACGCAAAGACCACATCAATGACTTTAGACAACGGATTAAAGAGAAACATTCGTTGGAAATGAATAAACAGAAGAAACTGTTGGACGCAATCGAGTCATTGTATGTATTTCTTGGCTTTTATTCTCATTTTGTGTCAATTATTTGTTATTTAAATTATTTTTGTTTGTCATTAGATATCAGAATAAATACGAAGAACTAAACCAAAGTCTCACTGAAGAAGAGAAACGATTGAAAAATGAAATCTCTTCTCAATCGCATTATTTGCGTTCAATTAAAAGGGAATTCAATGAGAGATTTCAAAATGACTTCACGAATATATTCAGTTAACTATTTATCTCATGTTTTTTGTAGATAATTGTAATTTTATATACAGTAAGACTGAAAACATCTAAACGAGTGTAAAATTTATAAGTTTATTAACTTTTTATTTTATTGCATTTATCGACTTTTCCCCATTTTATAGCTTTTACATCAAATTCTCTTTTATATTGATTTTTATTACTACAGTATTATTAAAATGGGATTCTTATAAACAATTGGCTCAATATTTGCTTTTATATGTTTATAATGTAATTTGTTTTTTGTATAATTGTTTAATTTAATATAGAATTCTTTCATTAAATTATCAAAAATTGGGTCAAAATCCAAACCTTGACTTTTGATAAAAGTAAACATCGTTTGTAATAATTTTGTTTTTATTAAACCTAATGAATGAATTGATATACAAAGTAATCGTATTATCATTCACTATGTATTTGTTTTCTATTGTAATGACATGTATAGTGTACAGTATAGAATAAGCAAGGCGCCGAGGTAAGTGGCCTAATTATCAGCGACTCTCCCTTCACTGCAGCCCTACTTTCCCTGCATTACACGGGGCTCTTGAGAGTACAGTTAACTCTCACTATATAGTTTGAAATTTTAACTATTGTTTTAACCTCGAATGGGAGTAGAATTCATCGCTGAGTTCGAATCTAAAATCCAAAATATTTTATTTCAAATATTTTTTGAGTTATTCGACTTAGAATATGTTTTATCGAAAATTTTAAAGTAACGTAATTTATTGATATGATATATAATCTCGATGTAGAATCTGACGCCGATTTCGAATTTTAAATTTCCAATCTTTTAAATTAAATATTTTTAAAGTTATTCAAATTTTAACATTTTAAAGTCGAATAGTTCGAAAATTACACATTTAATGTTAAGACCGATTTGATAATATTAATCAGCGTTAAAATCTACATCGAAATCATATAACATATTAATAAATTACGTCACTTTAAAATTTTCGATAAAAAAATATTCTAAGTCGAATAACTCAAAAAATATTCGAAATAAAATATTTTGGATTCCAGATTCGAACTCAGCGATGAATTCTACTCACATTCGAGGTTAAAACAATAATTAAAATTTCAAACTATATAGTGAGAGTTAACTGTACTCTCAAGAGCCCCGTGTAATGCAGGGAACGTAGGGCTGCAGTGAAGGGAGAGTCGCTGATAATTAGGCCACTTACCTCGGCGCCTTGCTTATTCTATACTGTATATTAATATAATAATACATTATAATTAAAGCTTAATTCAGTTCACTAACAGTGACTTAGTATTCAATAGACACTCGTTATATATAATTGACTCGATTATTATAGTTTGGACTTAACATTGGTTGCAATAATGGTATATAAAATCGTTAAATAACATTGAAATTAGTTTTAAAACAGTATACAATAGCACAGACTCTGTGTTTTCCCTTTCATTGAAAGGCTTTATAAATATTTAATAAAAATAATTTGTGAAACGCTTTCTAAAATGAGACAATAATTATATTATATTAGAAAATCTAATATTGTGTTGACTTTTCGATGTATTTTAAAAAGCTTTAGATTTAAAATAACTGAGAATTATGTTAAATAATAAATGCAAAAACAATTCTAACGATTTGAGTAACAAATCATAACTAAAATAAAATATTTAAAAACATTTAATAAAAATTAATAAAAAAAAGTACTTTAAAAACCGATACCTTAACGAAAAAACCTTAAAAATTTTGAAGGCAATCACTAAACAACTGACTTATGACTTGTGACAACATGTTTAACATTTCAGTCAATTTGGACACCATTTTTGGTAGGATTTTCTTGTTGTTGGAGTTTCTTAATTAAATCAATCTCTTTCTTCTCCTTATTCTTATTCCTGAGCCTGAATTGCATAGAATTGGCTATAATTCTGTCCACAATATCAAATGTGGACAAATCATTGCCGCTTTTAATCGCTTTGAATTTACCCAAACGTTTCGGTTCCTATCAAAACACAATAAGAATCCAATCAAATAATCCATTTTTTTTATCTCAAAACAATTATCAGTAAAACTATTAAAACAATATAATTAAAGCTAATGAGTACCGCATAGGGATCACTGCCATCAGCGTCTGGATGAATATCTGTGTGACCATGGATTACGACATCCACTTTAAAGTGGTTCATTAGATCGCTTTTGACGCTATACGGGGCGCCGATCACCACTTCATTCACGTACTAATCAATAAAAATATTAATACCAAAGCATTAAATGTCTAATAAAAAACATTGAAAACAAGTCAACCGTTGTTTGTTTTTTTGGCAGAATTCGCACAAAACAATCACAAATTATCTTAAGTGGAGATTGAATTAATCTCATGAAAAGATTACATAAAAAATAACGTATCATACTTTGCATGCGAGTACAGAAAGCACTCGTTCGTGTAGATTCATAATCGGGTAATTATAGCTCCGATATTTGTTGACCACAACGTCGGTGTGAAGGCCGACGATTAGATAATCGCCTTCTTTGCTCGCCTTTTCCAAGAAGTCTATGTGTCCGACATCTGGAGTGGAAATTAACACTCAATTAATTCTCTCAAGAATTTCATTCATAAAAATATCATTCATTACGGAACAGATCGAAAGCTCCGGCGACGTAAACGATACGATCGTTAGGCTTCGGCTCCTTTCCCTCCGCGAACTGTATAATCTTCTGAGTGGTCGGCAGGAACTGCGAGATACCCGTCCACGGGCTGTGTGTCGATGAGTCGCGACTTATGTTTTCGGTGTGCTCTCTGTCGGGCAAGTCGTCGACGGGACCGCGACTTTGGCGGTGATGTGCTTTCGTCAACAACAGCATCCGTCCCACCAAATCGGTTGTGGACACACCGGCCGTGCGCTGACACTCCTTATACCGGCCGTTCTCTTTCACGTAACGGTAGGTGTCGTGTCCGTCGGCGTCGAGTGTGATATCGTCTCCGTGGACACAGAAATCGCAGTCGTATTTGTCTAACGTCTCCAGAGTCGTGATATAAGGGGCGTCTCTGACCACTTCGTCCACCCATTTGATGGCCGAAACCATTTTATATCTCTCCTCTTCGTTGAAAACGGGCGGACCCTTGTGTCGAGTGATCTCCGCGTCTGAGTGGACGCCGACTATCAGGCGATCGCCCATCGCTTTGGCCTGTCGTAGTTGATTGGCGTGACCGAAGTGCACCATATCGTAGCTGATCCACAAAGAGACAAACAGTGGTCAACATATATCACGGTTTGTCATATTTCATTCATACAATTAATATTGTCTAATACTGTAAACCCGACACCCGTTTAGCCGAGTGTTTACCCGAAAAAAACCCGATTCTTAAAGTCCCGGTAAATATAAAAAACAATACATACCATCCGTCACACCAAACACGTACTCCTTTGCCGTCAGCTCTTTTCGGTGATAATTGTGCCATCATTTGGTCCGAGAAGTGATGTGCAATCCGATGGGTGACTGTCTGGCCGGTGATTGTGGTGTAAACTCAGCGCAAAAAAAACTAAATGCAAAAAACGATTTGTTGGACGACTTGTGGCAAAGGATATGATTGTTATTCTTGAGGTTCAATGCATTTCATGGCCAACAAAAAGCCCAGTAATCAATAGATTGTGAGAAAATTTTGTTATCAATTAATGATTACTCGTATCAATGATAACACCCCTCAAGAGGACGAGTGGTTACGCCACCCATTCATTCAGGCAATGGTCGAGAGTGTAGTCCAAAAGCCGATCCCCTTTTCAATACACAACAATTCAAACGCCTTTTAAACACATGTCATGTGATTATTGAACATATGATGCGATCAATGAATGCATTATTATTGCATACAATTGGCTGTCAAACAGATTTGGATCACAATTAATGACAACTTTTTACATAATTATATTAGCATTTAATTCACACACAGTTTTCGCATACATTTAATTTCAATTTACAGCCCATTTATGAACTACTTTTCAAACTGTTTTGTAAGTTAACTGTAAATGCAATGCATTTCTCATAGCATTAAAGGGGAGGAAAGGGTTGGGAGAAAGCGATGGGAAAACCTGTTTACAAGTTATGGCACTACATGTGTGGCAATATGAACTAATAATGCCCATGGTGGTTTGGGGGTGATCCAGGTGATTTGGGTGATTTGGGTGATTGGCTAGTTTAGCATTAGTTGATTGAGTTAATTGTGGGCATCAATGGTGTGAAGAGTGGTCGGCGAGAAGTGCTGTATTGCAGAGCCATCTGTTGTGTCTTCACTGCAATCTATAGCCAAAAATGACTTAATATTTGCATTGAATTGTGTTTTCTCTCTATTCTTATCGCGAATTCAACCCATAATTGCATTCAATTCTTGCATTCATTCCGTAATCAAATCCATTGCAAACACGACATCAGTATTGAGTGAATCGGACAATAGTTTTGCGTTGAATCCCAAGAAGTGAATCACAACCAGAAATGTTGCGAAACGCCAGTAATTGTGTGGCGAAGACATTGCGAAACCAGTCGTCGGGCGGTATCTGGCGATCGGTTCCAGCCATACATCACTTGTCGGCGAAACACATGTCGGAAGTGACGGAACGGTTGGACAAATCGCACGAAATACCGGAGAGTCTGCGATATGTGGAGGACTCAGCGGATCCGTCATTCTTTCATATGGTTGAGTACTTCTACCACAAGGGGTGGCAATGCGTTGAAGACAAACTCGTCGAAGAGTTTAAGGGAAAACTGACGCCCGAAGAGAAGCGCAAGAAAGTGAGAGGATATCTCTCCATATTAGGTCCGTGTCATGCGGTCCTCGAGGTCTCGTATCCGCTCAAACGGGACTCTGGAGAGTATGTGATGATCAACGGCTGGCGCGCCCAACACAGCCATCACAGACTCCCCTGCAAAGGAGGTCCGTATTGCGAGCCCTCAACCCTTTAATGCACTCATATATAGTCCAAATCCCGATCCCATTGTCTGTGTATTGTATTATAAATGAAATGCCAATCAATTGTATGGCAATTGTCTTGTTTTGGTTCTCCCGAAAGGCATTCGCTTCAGTACTGATGTCTGTTTGGATGAAGTGAAGGCGTTGTCAGCGTTGATGACATTCAAGTGCGCTGTAGTGGACGTGCCGTTTGGGGGCGCGAAGGCTGGCCTTAAATTGAATCCCAAAGATTACAGCGATCACGAGTTGGAGAAGATTACCCGCAATTTCGCGCTTCAATTGGCGAAAAAGGGCTTTTTAGGGCCCGGTATTGATGTGCCGGCGCCTGATATGGGAACCAGTGAACGAGAGATGGCGTGGATCGCCGACACATACGCCCAAACCATTGGCCACAAAGACCTTAACTCTCACGCGTGTATTACTGGGAAACCCATAAATCAGGGCGGAATTCACGGCCGAGTGTCGGCCACCGGACGGGTGTGTTATTTATTGAGATTTAGTAGCTCTCGAAGAATAAACAAAATGCTTATATTATTGTTATGTATTTTTCTGAAACGAAAGGGTGTTTTCCACGGAATCGATAACTTTATAAACGAGGCGTCGTTTATGTCAATCATTGGCGTCACTCCCGGTTGGGGCGGAAAGACATTTATAGTGCAGGGCTTCGGTAACGTTGGTCTCCATTCGTGTCGATATCTGCACAGAGCGGGCGCGCGTTGTATCGGTGTTATCGAAAAGGACGGAAGTATTTACAATCAGAGCGGAATCGATCCCAAAGAGTTGGAGGACTGGAAGTTGAATCACGGATCGATTGTTGGCTTTCCAAACGCTAAGCCCTATGAGGGAAACCTTATGTTCGAAAAGTGCGATATTCTGGTTCCGGCCGCGGCTGAGAAGGCCATCAACTCAGAGAACGCCGACAAACTTCAGTGCAAAGTATAATATTGATGCAAACCATTGACAAATTGAATGCCATTTGTAATTAGAAAACACATTTTGCAGATCATCGCAGAGGGAGCCAATGGGCCGACAACACCGGCCGCCGATAAGATACTTCTCGGTCGCAATATTCTCATTATCCCCGATCTGTACATCAATGCCGGAGGAGTGACGGTTTCATACTTTGAATGGCTTAAGAATCTAAATCACGTCAGTTATGGCCGATTGCTATTCAAATACGAACGCGACTCTAACTATCATTTATTGGGTAATCATCTCTATAATGGTTATCAAACATCAATCAATTGTTAACTCATTTAATGATTGATTTAGAGAGCGTTCAGGAATCGCTTGAGAAGAGATTCGGCAAAACTGGTGGACGTATTCCCATTACTCCCAGCGAATCGTTTCAGAAGAAGATTTCGGGCGCTTCCGAGAAGGATATCGTCCACTCGGGTCTCGACTATACTATGGAACGATCGGCGCGGGTATGAAGTGTTGCACTTAATTGTTGTGTGTTTTGACTAACTGTTTGTTTTTTGGGTCACTTTGACAGCAAATTATGAGAACTGCTATGAAATACAATTTGGGTCTCGATTTACGAACAGCCGCTTATGTGAACTCAATCGAGAAGATATACAACACGTACAAAGACGCCGGCCTTACGTTCACATACTTTGACAGCAAATTATGAGAACTGCTATGAAATACAATTTGGGTCTCGATTTACGAACAGCCGCTTATGTGAACTCAATCGAGAAGATATACAACACGTACAAAGATGCCGGCCTTACGTTCACATAACTAATACGTGTTTTGTGTGTTATTTTAATGGCTAAACAATTGATTTTTTGATTGTTTTTCTAATGATTTGCTATATTTTGTGATGTTATTAACAGAATTGATTGAAAAACAAAACAATTTTGTTTAGATTTTAGCCAAATATTATCTTTTATCAGAAAAAGTTTTATTTATACAAAAATGTTATTAATTGTATGATAATATATAATAGTATTAATTCTAGTGTTTTACCTTTTTTTGTTGCAAAACTACTTTAATTTTTTTGCCAGTCATTCATTAAATAAGTTTTAAATGCTTTCTCATTACTAGAATCACTAAATTTTGAACAAAATATACAATCTATTCATTATCTTATATAAAACAAAACAAAAATATTTGTCATTAAATTATACCATTCATTGCATCCAATATTATTCACATATCAATTGTGATTAAAACTAAAGCAATACTTGCATTGAAAATAAAATATTAATAAATTCATTGAGTTTTCGATTTCATTTCCGTCAATAAGTTTTATGTCATTAGATTTGACACCAATTATAGCACAGAATAATTGAGCAAAAAAAATGCAAACTATTTTTCACAGCCATATCTTATTTAGAAATACATGTTTAGGTCAGTTATCAATCGCTAAGTCTATCAACAAATTGGTGGCCAATCGGTAACCACTGATTTAGTGTTTAGATTACCTGTTAATTGTTGTGCCGAAAGGGGAGCGCAATATATGTTGGGTAACAGTGTTTGTGAAGTGTTGTGAATAATGTTGTGCTGTATTTGTTGGTCACATGAGAGGAATGAATGGATTGAATGGCAAAACGCAAACCAAAAGCCACTGAAAACTCAGACATCGTTTTGCACTCAAACTCTGCAATATTTCTATCATTAAAAGGCATTTAATTGCCGTTTAATTGCTCTCAAAAGGTATGTATTAATGCTTTTTATAGCACTTATTAATTGTGTAATGAATGGCCAATCGGTCGCTGTTTGTGACCAAAATAGTTGTCAATACAAGTGATTGATAAACAAAACTGTTTTCAACGCAAACCTAATGTCAGTGTTTTTGATGACTGCTTTTGAATGCATTTGTTTTTGGCTATAATTAAAGGCAAACCCAAACTGTGGTTCAGACAAGCGGTTCCCTAACAGCTGGAAGTGATGGCCAGAGGACAGCAGAAGATCCAATCGCAACAGAAGGCGGCGAAGAGGGCTCAGGACGCCAAACGCCAAGAGGGACACGACCAGAAGAAGGCGGCTCAGGCGGCCCTCACCTTTCAATGCACTGTTTGCAAAGTATGTGTCAATTGATCCCATTGTCGACGTGTGTTCAGTATCTGCGATAATGACCGCAATTATATATATGTTTCTCTGTTTTGTTGAACTCTATGTACGACTACTTGTATGGGTTGGCAATTGTGTTGTATAGTCTCAGATGCCTGACCCCAAAACCTATAAACAGCATTTCCAGAACAAACACCCGAAGTCAACCCTTCCCGAGGAGCTCAACGATGTGGTCGCGTAATTGGCTGATCGGCCGACGCCTTTGGCCACACATAAGGTGACCACCAAAACACATCCATACAATCCATTTGTTTTTCTGTCTGTATTTTCTTCAAATGATTTAATGATTTCATCGAAATTAAAGTAATTATTTGTTTTTACGCCGAGAACTGGTTCTTCGTGTCTGTGAAACACTAAAAACCAGTCGTAACTCTAGTTTTTCGTTTCATCCGTCAAACTATTGTTCACTTTTTAATAATGTTTTTTCTCTGAATTAAAAATAACTTTTTTTGTTACGAAATTATTATTTTTTCTTTGAGTTACTGTGTGTTGAGTCCAATGAACTCTATGTTTAACGAAGCCTTCAATTTATTGATTGTATTATAAATTTCAATTCAAAACATGTGTTTATTTTGCGGCAAAAACTCGTTTTGCCGTTAATTTTGAAATCATTTTCTTTTGTGTTTTTTAGACACAAATTTTTTGGATTAAATTTTTCATAATTTTATTAATAAAAATCAAACGAAAAGTATTTCTAACAATCAATTCGCTATCAATTATTTTTTACTTAACGTTATTTTAGTTTTGAAATTATATTTAAAAATCATTTTTATGTTGTTTTATGAGAAGAATAATCATTGAATAACTATTGAAAACAAAGGTATTAAGTGTTGTATAATTCACTTAAAGAGTGCAATGATTTGTCATTAAGTCTATTGTATGAAATGTAAGGATATTTCTGGTGAACACAAGTTTTACATTACATAATATTATTGTTTCCAACAATTGTTTGCAAGAAAATTATATTTTGCACTGTTTTTACGTTTTGTATTACTTTTCGTAGAAAACTATCGTAATATTGCACTCAAACACTCGATCAATCAGTTTCCTGAAGAGAAGTGAATCCATAGTCTAAAGAACACAACAGGAGAGAGGGGAGCGCAATATATGTTGGGTAACAGTGTTTGTGAAGTGTTGTGAATAATGTT